TCCCTGCTAAGGCCGTGTCCGAAAAGAGTATGTCTCACTTCCCACTCCGAATCCATGATAAACACGCTGCTCAACTTCGAGTGCAGAATGAGAGGGTGCATCTTTCTTATAAGAGTTCTGGTTTTTCTTTCCTTTTTCCAGGGGTGTAAGGGAATAGGAAAACATACTTCATCATGCAGAACGTTTGGTTAGAGTGCTAGAAGATGTTTTTCTCTAAAATGTCTTTGTCTCTGCATCTACTGTCTCCTAGGGTCTACTCCTCTTAACTCTGTATCAGTTTCTACTTCCCAGGATTCTCTGAAATAACCACCTTCATGGTTTTTTAGTGTAATAATATTCCATTAGAGCCATACACTATCATTCATTTTGTATTTCCTGTTTAAGTGGCGCCTTTTAGCTCCCAGCTCTTCGATTTGTTTTTTTTGTTTGTTTCCTTTTTAATCGCCCCTTTAGGTTAAGGAAGGTTGTCTTGCTGAGCTGCATATACTCCCTCCCTGGTATTATCCTCCCTCTTAACCCTCACCCCGGCCCCAAATTCTCTGTGTGTGTCTTTATGTGTGTGAATGTACAGTTATCCCTTCAACACTGTGACGTTCCCTCTCCCAGTTTCGATACACTGTGGGTTGGCATAAGATATGAAATGGCAATTTGGAGGGAGTTTTCTGGAAGCCACATATGACATATGAAGGCCAGCAGATGAGACAGAAAAAGTTTAGAAATTCAGAAATGCATAAAATATGTGTATAGCATTATATAATATCAACATATTTTATCTTTTAATACCATAATAATTCAGACTCTCTGGTACGAAAGGAGGGCCAAAAAATTTTACTCAGATTTTCAAATCACGGAGGCACTGCTTACCCCCCACGATATGGTAAGGATAACTGTTTACAACTCTGCTTCCACAATTCAAATAAGAGTGAGGGTAATCCAAGGCCTGTTCTCCCAAACCCTTTATCCATATTTGTATAGTTTTTTTTTTAAATCACACACCTCAATTACAAAAAAGAGTAAATTCTTTCTTCTTTCAACAATTGTATATTCCTTTCATCATCCTTTTCTTTCCCTTCCTAAAACACACAACCAGAACGAATCAATTTCCTGGATCTCTATTTTTTTTATTAAATCATTTCCTTCCCTTCATAAATATTAATGAAGACATAAAGGTTCTGAAGGGAAATTAGCTTTTTTTCCTCCCCAAATTAGAATGTTAGCCCTTTAACCGTACACAGCCCCTTCCAACTGTATGTACATGTGAACACACAGACACAGACACATAGATACACACACACACTTCCAGGTATCTCCAAAGTTTTTTTTTTTCATTTTCAAAGTTTCTACTCAGCTCTGTTCTTGTCAGTGAGAATGCTTAAAAGTTCTTTTCTCTGTTTCATTAAAGGTCCTTCTTCTCCTTGTAAGTTTGGCAGTATCAGTTTTTCTTGCCTGTACACCCACATCTTTTGTCTTTTTGGCATACTTTGTTTCAAGATCTCCTGTTTTACAGTTGAAGCCATCATGTGCACATTCCTGACAGGTTTCTTAGCACCTGAATTTTTGCATTCTAGCTGCTTTTAGTGGAAGCTCTGAATTTTAGCTATGACACTGCCAGGACTTTTCCTTTTGGGGTTTTCTTTCAGGGGATGATCACCGAACTCTATGTTTTCACTCTTCTCGCTGCTTCTAATAGATCTGGGCAGGTTTCATTTATGATTTCTTAAAATAGAGCATCCAGACTTTTTTAAACCACATTTTTACTGAATTCAATGATTTTAAAAATATCTCCCCTTGATCTATTTTACAGGTCAGTTATTTTTGGAAACAGATACTTTATATGTTTCAAAATCTTTTTATTTTGTTCTTTTTTTTTTTTGTCTGGTCATGAAGTCATTGATTTCTGTTTGGTCTACTCTATTTTTCAGAGAGTTCATTACTTGGCTAAGATTTACTACTTTCTGCTCTAGTTGTTTATTCTAATAGTTCCTCTAGAATTTTATCTCATGTATGATATCTCGCTTCATTTCTTAGAAGTATTCATATGGTCCTGCTGAAAGATCTTTTTTTTTTCCCCTTTGATTCTCTATTTACAGTTATTAGAAGTTACTCTTTCCTTCTAGGTTAGATTTTGGGGTATCTCTTGATCTATTACAATTCTTTTTTTTTTTTGATGAGGCAATCAGGGTTAAGTGACTTGCCCAGGGTCACACAGCTGGTAAGTGTCAAGTGTCTGAGGCTGGATTTGAACTCAGGTTCTCCTGACTCCAAGGCCAGAGCTCTATCCACTGTGCCACCGAGCTGCTCCTACAGTTCTTCGTAGTAGCTGGTGTCTTCTTCCATTTACTCTCCAGCCTTCATTCAGGAATTAGGGCTTTGTGTCAGGATGAGAATCTTTCCTGTGATGTACTTTTGAGGCAGCAGTCAGCCTGTCTAGTTCCAATGTGGATCACTTGGGTTCTTGCAGTAACCTCCTTGGATCCTTGAGGTCCAAAGCCCTGGGTCTTAAGCGGCCATTACGGCATGACAGCACACACAGAGTGCTAAGGATTTCACAGGTCTTGGGTGTGGAATGTTGATACCGAGCCACCTGTGGGACTATGCCGGATCCTGTCATACCCAAGTTCCACATTGTGCCAAGAACTCTGAGCCTATTTTGTGGGAGTCTTTCTCCATCTTTGGCTCCGGATAAAGTGCTTTGCTGGTTACCAGTGTCCACGTCCAATCTGTCATTTCCTTCCACCCTGTTTGCTTGAGCAGGCGCTGGCTTCCTAGCTGATCTCTCTTCTTATTGCCCTTGGGTCTCTGAATGACTTGAGGCCCTTCTGGTGTTGAAGAAGTCACTCAATATCTCTCTGGATTTCCTGATCACTATTCAGCCTCGTGCTGTTTTTCAGTCTTTGTTGGTTTGCTTGCCTCTGTCCAGGTAAATAGTCTTCCATGTAGTCTGCTCTAGGATTGTTTCTGAAAATCCTAGTGATTAGAATCAAAAGAGAGGCCACTGATCTTCATGGGAAAAACCGACAACACATATGTGTGCGTGAGCTTGCACATCAATGTGTGTGTATGTCTCTCTACAGGGAGCAATCATCTATGCTGAGATAAGAAAAACGACATCTGAAAAACTGAAATTAGCACAGCTGTTGACAAAGCACAATGCAAACATGTCATCTATTGACCTAGATGATGTCTGAGACACCTTTCTGCTTTGTTTACGAGTCTGTGGTAGGAATATCTGTAGGGACTGGGCCTGTGATTAAACTGCTATAAGAACTCCTGATGAGGTAACCCCTTCTACCAAAGATTATGGTATTCAGCAAGTTCCCTAGTCTGACCTAGAGCATCGACAGGTATGACGACATGACCAATGTGGGTCAGAGGCAGGATTAGATCCTAGGTCTCCGGCTCTGAGGCTGGCTCTCTAGCCACTATACAATAATGATGAAAAAAAGACAAGTTGGACACGGCACTACTTGCCTAACAATTCTAACCACCAGGAAGCTGAGGCTGGTGGAGCTCTTGAGCTTAGGAGTTTTGACTTTGCAATGGGCAATGCCAATGAAGTATCCTTACTAAGTTTGGTACCATGGGGAAAAGTGGGGGGGGGGAGGGAAAGAAGGAGGAAGAGAAGCAGGGTTGAGCAGCACGAGTAGGGGAGAAACAGGTTGTCTAAGGAGGGCTGAAGCAGCTCAGGATGGAAACTGAGCGGCTCAAAGCTGCCATGCAGATATGAGTAGAACCTGCACTCCGAGCTGGGACAAGCTAGGCAAATCTAGTCTTTAAAAAAAAAACAAAACCAACAATAACAACAACCCAGCAATAAAAAGGCAGTAAGTTTTCAGAAAATAATCTCTCTGAATTCCAGTGTTTTCCCTCCTTTAATGGTATAGCATTTATCCTGTACATAGTTTACTTGGTAACATTTGCATGTTGTATCCCCGATTAGATTGTAAGTTACCTGAGGGCAGGAATTGTCTTTTGCCCCTTTTTGGATTCTCTGTGCTCAGCACAGTGCCTGGCACATAATAAGTGCTTAATAAAGGTTTATTAAAATTGAATTTAAAATAGCAAAATATTAGAAGATAAATAAAAGACAACAAGAAAAAGAAATAAAAATAACTACTCTTTACATAATAGTCACTACTGAATGTTTTCCAAAATGCAACAAAAACTTTTAAATAGTTAATTTGGCTTATTTGAAAAATCCAGTAGAGAGGAGCTAGCCACCACTAAGAATAACACCGTGAACCATCAGATCCAGGAAGTTCATGACAAACAGACAAACATAAAAAGATGTCCTTCATCCTGGAAAGGCCATAGCACCCAAGACTGAAACGTGAGAAAAACTGGTCAAGAAGTAAAAAGCAAATCTAAATGTTATTTTACTCTTCTGATCTAGAACCCATTTTGGTGGTGGCAAAACAGGCTTTGTTATGATCTGTAATTCCCTTGACTACGCAAAGAAATACGAGCCAAAGAAAGAACCTTCAACTTGAGGGCTGTATAAGAAGAAAAAAGCTATCAAGAAAGGAGTAAAAGGGTGAAGGATGAAGAAAGTAAATGCAAATGCTAATGACAGCAACAAAGTGAAATGCAAATTGAGAACGAAAGGATTAAAGGGTATTGCAGTGATTTGGTCCATAAAAATAGTATGAATTTTTCACTAGAGCATCAATAAACATGTAAAATCTTTTTAAAAAAATGATGTATAACAAATATTTGAGAAATGACATAATGGCTTGTCTGTTAAATCTTAAATGTAAGCCAAAAATAAGGAGAATCATACTTTATACATAACAATCACACACTGTATTCTTTAGTAGTAGTATTTTTGATGAGAGTAAATTTTTTAACTAACGCAATAATTCTAAACGTGAAAATTATCAAGTTTTGTCGATAGAGGACAGTACCATTAGTTAACCAATAATTATTCTTTAAGCATTCAAGAGATCAAAATCATCAGAGCTAAAACTCCCAAAGCATCTTGATAACAGTTTCCTCATTACCTGCGTTTGTGTTTGATCCTTGAAGTAGAATTGTCAAGGTCTCCATAACCAGCAAAGCAAGTTGCTTCTGGTCTTCCACAGAGCTATTGTTTTTTGAATCCCCTTTAAAAAAAAAAAAGTTTTGATCATTTAATTTGGATAAACGGCAGGCTTACTTCCACCCCACTCTTCCTAAATTTTGGTTTTGGCATTTCTATTTACAGTGTAATTACTGGCTACTTTCAAATATAATTATTATTGATGCTAAAATGCTAAAACAAAAACCACTCTAAAAAACACAGAAACTAAATATTCAAAATTGACCAGTAGGCTCAAAGTCAAAATTCTGCACAACAGGTGCCCTTAAATGTGACAGGGAGGTATGATAGGGCTATTTCCTGAAACACATTAAATGCTGCTTCCAGAAAAAATAAAAATGTACAAAGTTGAATAAACCATCATGTCCAAAAAGGTGAAAAAGAAATTAGTAATTAATAGAAATAAGTGCAAATTTTGATAGGTAACTCCAATCATATACAATTGTAATCAGATTCAGATTTATATACCAAAACATGAAAAATTTTAAGTTAAAGACATTGACCTTAAATATAGAGGAACTGTATTTTTTTTTAATCCTTAACACATCTACTACACAATCTCATACTTTCCTACGCCATTTTTACATAAGGGAACAAATAGGAAAGCAAGCAGCTCCTTGGAAATTTCCCTCAAGGCTGTTATAATTTAGTGATGCTAGCAAGTCATTCAAGTTGAAGAAAAACCTGCTGCCTGCACCTGTACTTATCAATCAAGAAATGAGAACACAGAAAATACAATACTTTACCTTGCTCATTCAGAGTCTGAGGGTCCTTCAAGAAGGCAGCATATTTATGCAAGAGGTTTACCATTACCTCCAGAAGGCCCACCTCCCTGAACACATCCTTAAATATGTAGTCATGTCGTGTGAACTTAAGAAGAGTTTTTGTGGCAATGATGCTACATTGGTAAGAAGAGCTGGATTTTAAGAGAATGCTGACACTGATAAGCTCTTTACAAGGGATATAATTTAAACTGAAAACGACAAACTCTAGCATCTCAAAGTATTTGGTCTGCACTTCTGGAAGCCTAGAAATCTTCTCTGCAAACTGGGACAACGTGTGCTGCGGCTCCAAGATAAAATAGTTTGCATTGTCAGCTATGTAGATATTTGTGATGGCATCAAGGATGATTTGGGGAAGATAGCTTGTTTTTGCTTTTAAAAATGCATTCTGTAGGACAGCAAACGCTTGGATGTTTCTCACACTGTGACCTGTGAAAAACAATAAAGAACATGTTATTTCTTCTATCAGAATAAGTTTGATATTTTAAATAATGACAAAAGTCATTTTTAGCTCCTGGCACATTGCTCTATAAACAGTAGGTACTTAGAATTTTTTTTTAAATCAAGAGTTATTTATGTTAACAATAAACATTTCTTCCAAAAATTGTATTCTACCAGGTCACATGATCAAGACTAGACATTTTCTCTGATCCTAACAATTGCCCAACTTCTACAAAATACAAATCATGTACAAGAGTTGAAGCAATTTCATTTGTCTCCCCAGTTTCAAATGCTAAGAACTCCAACAAGGTAAAAACCTAATGAATCAACGAAATAATCCCTAACCTCTAATGTGCTCACTCAGTATACCCCTCTCCTATCACCCGCTATCCCATAACAGAAAGGCTCCACAAGCCAACTCATGGGCTTGCAACAGAACTCAATTCTACACACAGACATCTCTCTTCCCAGTGCTGTGGAGGCCCCCAAATCAGAAGCTTGCTGAGGCCACTAAAGTATCACAAACTGCCCCACTCAGCAGCACCTGGTGCAACAAAAGAGCTCTGCTTGAGAATGGAGGAAAAGGGGGAAAAGGGGGAAAGATATGTATGGAAGCCTGAGGAAAAGAGTCATTCATCTAGGGCCACAGAAGTACTCAGGGTGGAGACCAAGATGCTCAGAAATCTCATAAATGTGAGAATGGCTCCTTTCCACTAAATTCCACATTTTGCCTAGCTCAGATACTTGCCAGCCTTTTATTATTTTGATAAAACACTCTTATCCAAACTTCTACTGATTCTTTCCTAAGAGTACAGGGGAAAAAATCCTAACCTGGGCCTATATAATTTTTTTTTTGCATAAAGAATTTTGTACCTGACATGACCATTATGCGGCATTATTTTTTTTACTTCATCATACCTCCCAATTTTTCTAAGTGACATACCTGTTCAAAGGACATTTTCAAAATTTTTGATTAACCCTTACTCCTCAGAGGGTGATTTAAAGATCATTTTCCAAGTAATATCCTCTACCATCACAGCTGAGTGAATAAGTTGGGTTTCATAACTAACAAAATATTGATTGATCATTTTCTCCTGGTCTTAATCTATTAAATATCACTTTTATGTTTTTCCAACTCTTTTTCAGCTCTTTTAAAAGATTTTATAATTATCTTTTTTTTTTTGCAATGAAGATCTATCTATTCCTAATATTAAGAGGCCATGGTATGTTTCAATACCCATAACTTCATAATACTTGTTGAACATATCAACCTCCATTTTTTCAAGTAGTTATTACATAAAAGTCATATTTAGTAAAATAATAAATAATACTAAAATGCTACAATGAAGCCATAATTCTATGCAATTAATATGCAGCAAATAAAACAGACAAATCAATGTCATTACCTATTACTCTGTGAATTACAACAGGTTGATAATGAAAGAAAATACCAAGGGGAAAAAAGAAAAAGCACGTGCAAAAAATTCCAAAAACTATTCCCTAATGTGCAGGACTTTGGGGGAACAAGATTTCATGTGTATCCTAGGCATAGTGGGGAGGTAGACGATGTTGTACTGGATGACAATCACAGCAGCCCTTACGTTTTTCTAATTTGCTACTGGCTCATTTTGTTCTTGATCCTCCAGGTAGGTTCTAAGGAAATCAAAAAGCTTGTTCTGATATTTCCTCAAAGTAATAGAAATGTACAATCTCTATCATTCAATTAACCAATTAGCTCTGTGTCCTCATCCCAATTCATAAATTAGAGAAACCTTTTTTTCCCCTAAGCTTTTTGCTTCTTTCACTCTCTACCTCCTCTCACATATTCTTCTATTTCTCTCAGACTCTTCATGGACAACAGTTAACTCCTTCAATCTAAATCTTTCATAGGATGATAGTTAAATAAACAAAGTAAAATCATCTCTTTTTAATCTTTTTTCTTTAAGAAATGGCCATTTAAACTTCATTCTCTTATAATACTTCATCCCTTCTTCCATCACAGTTAACTGACAATTCTCCAAGACACTTCTCCCTTTTATAGGTGCAGTAATAATATTTATATTCAGTAAGAGGGGCTATGGAAGCTGCTATTACCTTTAAATAAAAAAAGGAAATCATTCCAAATGGAGATTTTTCTTCTCATCAGTTTCTAAGTATAAACTGGTAAATATAAAGGTAATTAAATAATTAAAGCCTTAGATCACTGATAGTTTCTAGACCTGCCCTGTTCATACCTAGAATTCACTCCTCCACTCAACTAAAGTTGCTTCTGATTTAATGACTTTTTAATTAATTGTCAGTGGACTCTTCTCAGTTCTTATTCATCTTGACCTTGCATTTGACACTGTTCACTACTGCCTCCACCTGGATATACTCTCCTCACTGTGGTATTGTAAAATTATCTCCTGTTTTTGCCCTACCATTTTGACCACTTTAATCTCAGTTGCTGGATCATCCTTAACTCTTTCCTCAAACCTCAGTACTGGGCCCTCATCTTTCTCCACATACTCTTTCAATGATGTCATGGGCTCAACAACTACCTTTATGCACCTCTCACATCTACATATACAGGCCTAGTCTTTCTCCAGAGCTTAAATCCCAGAACATCAGCTGTCTATTGGACATTATCACCTGTATGTCCTGTAAGCATCTTAAAAGCAACATGATGAAAACTAGAACTCATGTTTTTCCCCAAGGCCTCATCTTTTTCTGAATAGTCTAGTTCTATTAAGAACACCACCATACTTCCAATCAACCAGTTTCATAACCTTGCCATTTTTTTCCACTCTTCACTCTCCCTCATCCCTCATACGTATCATAGACATCAAATCCATATTATCGCTTGGCTCTGCCTCCTTCTCACCACTCAACCACAACCCTAGTTTAGGTTCTTTTCACCTCTTACAGGACTATGAGAATGGCCTTCAAATTTGAAGATCAGATGGTCTCCCTACCTCCAGGTTGCCTCCACTCTAATCCATCTTCCACACAGTCCCTGAAATGATGGTCCTAGAGTGTAGGTCTATGATCTAGGACCTAGACCACAGATCTGACCATGTGATCCTACTGCTAAAGGAACTCCCACGGATGGCTTCCTCTTGTCTCTAGGATCAAATTAGAACTCTTCTGCCGTCAGTTAAAGCCCTTCATAATATACCTCGAGCCTAACTTTGTAGCTTTTTAATATATTATCCCCTAATTCCCACAGTATGCCTTCCAGTCAAATAGGCTAACTAGATCCCTTTCAAAATGTCACTTCCTCTCCAGTCTCCGTGCCTTTGGTCAATCAATTCCAATTCCTGACATGCATTCTCTTCTTAGTTCTGCTTCTTACAATCCCTAGCACCCTTCAATGCTCATCTTAAAGTTCCCCCTCCAAGAAGAAATCTATTATGAGAGAAGAAATCTATGCTCCCCTCCCCCCCAAAAATTGCTTTATATTTTGTATATGTTTTGAATTTGCCTATTTGGGTACAAGTTTTCTATGGTCAATAAAATATAAGCTCCTTAAAGACAGGGATGCTTTCACTTCTATCTTTGTATCTCTAGCACCTAGCTCAGAGCCTAACATATAACATGCAATAAAATGCTTATTGCATGAAAAGGAAGTTTTCTAGACAAAATATAAATGTTTCTTTTCCATAAGATCAGAAACAGTAATAAAGGAATATAGGTGTGTCAAGAGACTTATATAGCAAGAGCTTCTCCCAGCCAACTCCTCAGTCAAAAAGAATTAAGTAAGTACTTATTAAGTACTTCTCTTCTCCCATCCTCCTTCTCCATACCTTCTAGGCACGAACAAGGCATGTCTAGAAACTATCAGGGGTCTAAGGCTTTAAGTATTTATTTAAGTACTAATCACTGGAGATACTAAGAAAAGGTCACACATAGTCCTTACCCTCAAGGAACTGACATTCAAATAGGGAAGTTAACATGCAAATAACTATGCAAACATAAGATATACATTGTGTAAATGGCAGATAATCTCAAAGAGAAGGGGTAGGGAATGGGAAAGAGGGGGACCAGAAAAGGCAATCTGCAGAAAGCAGGATTTGAGCTGAGTGTTGAAAGAAGCCAGGAAATTCAGTAGGCAGAAGTGAAGAGGGAATGCATTTTAAGCATAAGGACAGTGGAGCATTTTATATTCGATCTTTGACATAATAAGGAAACAACGCAGTTTATTGAGTTGGAGGGATGGGGGAAACCTTGAAATGATTAGATAGCGGAAAAGACAATGAGTTCTATTTTGTGCTGGTTGAGTTAGAGATACCTATGAGAAATCCAAAAGGCAATAAGTCAAATTTAGCTATCAGTCACGAGAGAGACTATGGCTGGATACATACGAATCTGGGAATCATCTGCACAGAGATGATAATTGAACCAATGGGAGATGATATCAGCAAGCAAAACAGTAAAGAAAGATGTTAGAAAAATCTGAAACAAAAATCTACTACAGGAGTGTGTGAAGGAAAGCCTTCATGACGCTTCTCACGAGAAGCAGGCATACCGCACCCTAGTGGCGCATGCACATTGGTACAGAAGCAGAGTCAACTTTTAAATGGTTGGTAAAATCCATATTCCTGCCATTTGTGTTGGGATTGGACCAGTTCATTTGGATTTCACTCTTTCTGAACTGCCCGTCCCATGTTCCTACTTGTCATGTCAATCCCTCCCGGTCATGCAGCCCATGTTCAAAAATGGCGGCTATCTCTACCCTCAGGGTATGTCAGTTAATATTCAATAAGCTTATTAAGCAAGCACATTGGAAAAAAGCCTTTGCCCCGTCCTTGACCCTGACGGGTTGCAACCAGGCTAGCCTCCAGGACTCTTTCTTAAGGAATTAGTTGTTTTGCAGAATGTTTGGGGCATTCTCTGACTGGTTGAGGGACAATCCGAAAGATCTTGGAAGTCCTCCTCAACTCCCGTGTTCTTCTGTGGAAACCTAACTTCGAAAACCTTTCCCACAAAAGAGAAAAGGCTAAGCCAGT